CGTTGTTCAAAAAGCAAGAGTAGTTTCAATGTAGCTAGCTACTTTTTGATAGTAACTTGTAGTGTAGCTAACTACTTTTCCAAAAGGGTAGCTTGATTGTAGTTTAACTACTTTAGTAGCTTGTAGCTTGTCAAACTACAGTTTCAGAGTAGCTTCCCCAACACTGGTTGCAATGCATTATATATCTTTTGCTAAATAATTGTAAACGAAATTTAAATGCGTTATAATATTTTAGGGTAAAAAACGAACCATGCTGTTCCCCACCCACGGTTCGACTTGCACCGCGGTAATCTTAAATCTGATGACTTTGTTCGATGCGAGTGCTGTATGCTCTAATCACCTTTGGCTAAGCCACGCCCTAGAATATAGATTGACCAATCACAGCGCAGCCAAGAACGATCTCCCACAGAGTTCGGACACTTTTTCACAGCGCTCCATTGACTTTCAACACAGGCGTCTCATATTTTTGGTCTCGGCAGGCTATTACCGTCGTAGTTTTATCAAAAATATGGTTAAACGTTGTGCCTGGGGCATTTGCAACACAGATACGCGTTTCCCAGAGAGGTTGGAGGGGGGTGTCCGTTTTTTCCCTTCCCAAAACCAAAGTCAAATCCTGACAAGTGTCGTGTTTGGATTAAACTGTGTGGACGTCCTCAGTCAGCTAAACCCCGCAAAGATCAACAAGCACATCTTTTTTTTTTGCTTCTAACCTTACTGTGAAGTTACACTAGTTAGACCGTTTTATAATGTTTTAGGTCATGATTTGGGTTCTCATAGCGGTTGTTGATACGCTAGCACACGCTGCTAATAAACACAACGTTAGTCAATCGTGTAGTCCGTTTGCTTTGTAATAACGATTATAGAAGTGAATAGAGACCTACCCAGCTTTGCATGAACAGTGTTGCTCCCGGATATTGTTAGTCCCAGCCTCCGTCTCCATTAGTAGGAAATGCGGTGGTTCATGTTTTGACTGTGAGCGGTAATGTTATGCTTTTGCGTCTATTTTGGATGCCTTGTTGTTCTTGCGTTTCAGCTGTATGTCTTGAATATAGCCTTCGAACGCATATTGCACATTTGCCTACTTCTATCGGACACTTTATTTGCTGCTTCATAAAAGTTTGATAACATTTCAGCAGGAAGAGCTGTCACAGCATAAGCCATGCAGAGCGCAGATGAAGTTTGACGGATGTAGCAACAGTAACTAAGGGGACTAAAACAATTAGAGCACTGTTTTAACCTAAAACATAAAACGGTCTAACTAATATAACTTCACAGTAAGGTTAGATCTGTGCTTGTTGATCTTTGCGGGGTTTAGCTGACTGAGGACGTCCATACAGTTTCCAAAGACGACATTTGTCACTTGTCAGGATTTGACTTCGGTTTGGGAAGGGAAAAAACAGACACCCCCCTCCAACCTCTCTGGGAAACGCGTATCTGTGTTGCAAATGCCCCAGGCACAACGCTTGACCATATTTTGGATAAAACTACGACGGTAATAGCCTGCCGAGACCAAAAATATGAGACGCCTGTGTTGAAAGTCAATGGAGCGCTGTGAAAAAGTGTCCGACCTCTGTGGGAGATCGTTCTTGGCTGCGCTGTGGTTGGTCAATCTACATTCTAGGGCGTGGCGAATTGTAAGTCGGTTTGGATAAAAGCGTCAGCTAAATGAATAAATGTAAATGTAATGAGAGTTAAAGGATTAGTTCACTTTTGAAAAAACTTTTGCTGATAATTTACTCACCCCCGTGTCATCCAAGATGTCCATGTCTTTCTTTCTTCAGTCGAAAAGAAATTAAGGTTTTTGATGAAAACATTCCAGGATTTTTCTCCATATAATGGACTTCAATGGGAACCGGATGGTTCAAGGTCCAAAAGACAGTTAATAACAGTTTCAGATGCAGCTTCAAATGTCTTTAAACGATATTAGACGATGAATAAGGGTCTTATAATGCGAAACGATCGCTTATTTTAAAACTTATTTTTAAGGACAAATGCTAGCCTTGCTCTATTCTGTGAGGCGCGTTTGTAACGTCACGTAATACGTAATTACGTTCAAAAGGTCACGGGCGACGTAGCCGAAAGTACAGAGTCAGTGTTTACAAGTTGAACGCATAGGTTGAACGTGCAAACTAGCTCAAACGCCGTTTACAAAAAAAGGAATTAAAAGGAAAAACAACGATGTCGGACGATTTTGATTCTGTACTTCCGGCTACCGTGACCTTTTGAACGTAATTACGTATTACGTGACGTTACAAACGCGCCTCACAGAATATAGCAAGGCTAGCATTTGTCCTTAGAAAAGTTACATTTTTGGAATAAGTTTTGAAATAAACGATCGTTTCGCATGATAAGACCCTTATTCATTGTCTGGTGTCATTTAAAGGCATTTGAAGCTGCATCTGAAACTCTCTTTTGGACCTTGAACCGTTTGGTTCCCATTGAAGTCCATTATATGGAGAAAATCCTGGAATGTTTTCATCAAAAACCTAAATTTCTTTTCGACTGAAGAAAGAAAGACATGGACATCTTGGATGACATGGGGGTGAGTAAACTATCAGCAAAAGTTTTTTCAAAAGTGAACTAATCCTTTAATTGATATGTAATTGCAAATTAGTTGACACATATTTGCAAAGTTACTTATATGGAAAATGTCTGAAGTGGACATTCAAAGTAAAGTGTAACGAAATATTTTAGACCTGGTTTCACAGACAGGGCTTAGATTAAGCCAGGATTAGACTGCCATTCATGACTTCCATAGTATGGAAAAATAAAATACTACGGAAGTCAGTGTGGCCAACACAGTCTCATCCCCCAAAAAGTCAAATAACTGACCATACGTCAATATCCGCCTTTTTAGGGCCCCCTTAAACGTCGGTAGATGGCGATCCCGGGCCGTCATACAAAACTTAACTTTAACGTCAGTTAGGTGACGGGTTAGGTTTAGGTCTGGGGTAGAGTTAGGATCCCATAACCTCATCTACCGACGTTTAAGGGGGCCCTAAAAAGGCGAATATGGTCAAAAGACGTCCCAAAACGGTAACACTTTAGAATACGGTTCCTTCGTTAATGAATAACTACACAAGAACTAATGAGTAACACAATTTTAACAATCTAGTAACTATTATTAACTAATAAGAAACTTTGATTAACGAACTAGTAAGTAATAGCGTACAGACGAAAGTGGTAGTTCACTATTAAGTAATCAATAACTACTATTTTTTTAATACTTCCCAGAGAACTACTGAAAAAGTTTATTAACAATCTAGTAACTATTATTAACTAAAGTAAATTCTTATTAACAAATTAGTAAGTAATAGCTCACAGATGAAAGTGTTACTAGATACTTCTGTGGGAGTTACTAATTATTTGGATTCGTATTATAAAGTGAAGATCATTGGAACTAACTAATAATGACTCAAGTGTTACTAAAGACATTTTCTAAAAGTATACTAAAGTTCACCAAAAATCTCAAACAGTTGCAAAAATCATGACTAGATCATGTAGTAACACTTGAGTAATTACTAGTTAGTTCCAATGATCTTCACTTTATAATACCAATCCAAATAATTAGTAACTCCCACAGAAGTATCTAGTAACACTTTCATCTGTGAGTTATTACTTACTAATTCGTTAATAAGAATTTCTTTTAGTTAATAGTAGTTACTAGATTGTTAATAAACTTTTTCAGTAGTTCTCTGGGAAGTATTAAAAAAATAGTAGTTATTGATTACTTAATAGTGAACTGCCACTTTAGTCTGTGCGCTATTACTTACTAGTTCGTTAATCAGAGTTTCTTGTTAGTTAATAATAGTTACTAGATTGTTAATATTGTGTTACTCATTAGTTCTTGTGTAGTTATTCATTAACGAAGGAACCGTATTCTAAAGTGTTACCCCCAAAACGTCAGTTATATGACGTCTTGGGATGAGACTGCGCTGGTGTGGCCCATCAACCATATCACTCAAAATATCTTCTTTTGTGTTCTGCAGAAGACAGAATTTCAGCTTATTTCAGGTATTTACATTATTGGGTGAACTAGTATCCCTTTAACCTGTATTGAAAGCAAAATTTTCCTCAAAGTAAGCAACATAAGCCACTGGATTCTTTCCTTTACAGTAACTCCAGAGAAAGGCTATTTTCCTTTTGTTCAGGCCTCATCTGCTGTCTGTGCACGCTCACTAGCTCCCCGCTGTATTATCCGAGTGTCAGCTCCACATGTGGCACTGATAAATGTATTCCACACATGTTTATGGCCACCGGTTTACGTGGAGTTTCATCGCAAACCTGGCTTCTCCAAACATACGAATCCATTTTATGGAAGAATACAGAGAGATGGGGATGTTTTGGGAGAGAAATGTGTCGGGATGACTGATAGGTCAGTGTAAAAGTCTCATCTGCCCTCAAGGGTTATCGTTGTAATACACACTCCTAAGAGCACAGTCTTGTGAATCCAGTTTTGTTTCACTCCGACCCATCAGCCCTCATTTACGCTTGTGCGTTTGCGCTTTGTTCGGTTTGCCCGCCGTTTGGCTTTGATTTGGGAGACAGCGTTAAAAGCCTGGTGAAATCTATAGAGAGACGTTTCAGGCCAAAACCTTTTTCCAATTACCCAGTCTTCATTACTGCGCTGTCATAGCTCGCTCCCTGCAACTCCGGGCCTTTGCTTTATGGCTGCGGAACAAAAAGCCCCGCTGTTGTTTTTTCATATAGACTGATTTCCTGTTCACCCGATTTAATACATGAGAATGGGACTCAGATATCATCCAGTAGGAGGCACAGACATAAAATGGCATTTTCTTGCCCAAACCGAGAGCCAGGCTCGCTCTCTCTTCCACAGGTTTCACGATGGTCGCCGGCTCGCCATCCTAATGTGTCTTTATTCAATTAGGAAGCAGTGAGTAGGTATTCCGGCTCAATTATTCTTAGTTTGGGCTGTAGACTTGGAATTAAAGCCTCTTGTGTTTCCCCGTCATTATTCAATTTACGGGACCGGACACCAGTTATCTTGCCAAGAAAGTTTTATTATATATTATATATATGTCAGGAGAGAAACTTCATGATGTTGTGTTCATGCCTGGTCTATGCGTTTCTCCATGTTCCTCTACCCTCTCACCCGGTCATGCCTACATGTTTCTCTAAGGGTGGTACAATGTGACATTGAGTTTTTATACATCACACAGTCTTACAGCTTCCTTGTAAGGTAACAAACATGTTGCTCTGAGCTTCTCAACTTAGAACGTAAATGTCATACGTGCGCTACTTTCCTTGTTGTGTACATCTGTGGTACACTTGCATCAGTGGAAACATTTATGCTGAGTGAACATGTTACATGGCACACATACCTCTCTGAGCAATATATAGCTTTCCCCTGACATATGTTCCTCATGCTTTTAACTCATGCTTTTTGAAACTCCAAAAGGATAATACAGTGATCATGAAAACTAATAAAGAATAATAATACAGATACATAATATTTAATAATGAAATAATATTAAAAGATGAAATTTTAGTCTTCATCTCCCTCCACTGGAACTACGGCCGTAAGTTCCACACCATCATTCCCAGGTGGCCAACCTATAGAAGTGATAGTGAGGAGAAGAAATAGCAGACCAAGAAAATAGACAGAACGAACAGAAGAATAGAAAAGGAAAAACAAAACAAAGAACAAAAAGAACAAAAGAACAAAAACCCCAACCCGTGTTATGTCCCCGTATACTATGTGTGTTTTAATATCTATGTGTATGTATTTAAAATGAACCCCAATCATCTAAGAAAAGGAAAAACTAATAATTCTTCCGCTCGTGCCTGGACTCATTAATTAATTAACTCGTAACTAATTAAATCCCCCAGTTCCGAGCCAAAATAAGAAATTAAAATAAACGTTGATGTTAAAGGGTCCTATCCCTTGGGGTTGAGAATCAGTAAGCGGGTGTTCATTGTTTGTGAGGTAATGTTTTGTAAGGAATACATAATAACTTGCAACCATCTTTAATAAATGTCAATGGAATTGATTCCTGAAATGGAAGCAGAAAAATAGTTAGCATCACTTATTTGTTCCCAATCTTTAAAACTAATCGATGAACATTGCTCAGTCTCAACAGTTTGTTTATTCACTAAGCAAGGTTTAACTTGTGACCAATGATACCATCTATCTGTTCCTACACCCTTCCCTTTGAGACAAACACTTGTATGTTAAGAGTATCTCATAAGGTCCTTCCAATCTAGGCTCTAAACCCTTCCTAGCAATTCGTTTGATCATAACAAAACTGCCTATCTCGGGAATGTGTGGAATGTCAGTAGTGGTGTGTTTTTCATCCCATTGCTGTTGAGCTTCTCGCGCTTTCTTATTATTGTCCATGATTACAAGTATATATTGATACCCTCCACTAGGTGATAAAGGTCCTGTGAAATCAATTTGGAGATGTGTCCACGGACCTGTTGGTCTGGGTGCATGTGACATTCGCACCTTTACAGATTTTCCCACATTTGCTTTGAGGCATATCAAACATCTCCTACAATAATCATCAATGTCTCTCATCATTCTTGGCCACCACCAAGTTTCACTAATTTGAGCTTTCATTGCTTTTGCTCCAGCATGCACTTTTCCATGATACAGCTGCATTAGTTCTCTTCTTGTTCCGATAGGCATCACTACTTGTCCTGTTGGAATTCTCCAGATTCCTTGATCATCCTCTTTCGCTCCCGCTTTTATCCATTGTTCTTTCTCTTCATCTGTCTCCAATTGATATGACAGAAGATGGAGCTCAGGATTATCCTTGGTATTTTCCTTTACCAGGGTAACAGGAGTAGGATGGAGTAGAGCTGCTTCTCTAGCTGCTGCATCTGCTGCCGTGTTTCCTTGAGTTTCTTTGGACTTGTCAGATTGATGAGATTTTACTTTGATCACGGCTGCTTCTCTAGGTAAGTGACATGCTGTAATTAAGCGACGAATTATGGAAGCATGTTGTATTTCGCTCCCACTACTGGTGATGAGTCCACGTCTCTTCCACAGGGCAAGGTAGTCATGGACCACACCAAAAGCATATCGACTATCTGTATAGATGTTGACTCGTTCTCCTTCAGATAATTCAAGAGCTTCTGTAAGTGCTATAAGCTCAGCTACTTGTGCTGAAAGTTTGCCAGGAAGAGCTCCTTTCTTCACAACAGTTCCATCAGCTTGCACTACAGCCCATCCAGTGTGTCGTTTTCCATCAACATAGTAACTGGATCCATCAACCCATAACTCCTTGTCTGGATTTTCAAGAGGGATTGGATTAACAGGACCAAGGCTATCTTCTTCGACTTGTTTTACACACTCATGTGGTATTCCCTCATGTGGTTCCAGCATCATTGTTGCAGGGTTAAGAGACGTGTCTCTGATGATTTCCACTCTCAAATCCTTGTTCAACAAAGTAGCTTCCCATTTTGCTCTTCTTGCATCGGTTATGGTTTTGATGTTTGTGTTGTTCAACAATGTCACTATACTGTGTGGAGTGTGCAATATGATAGTTTGTGCTCCTATCAGATTCTCAACAGCATCCACTGCCCATGTGGCACCATCGAGAGCTTGTATACATCGTGGTTGCCCAATCATAGTGACAGGAATCTTTGTGGAAAAGTATCCAACTGGTCTGTATCGATCACCTGGTTTTTGACACAGTACTGCTGAATACGTCTCATCCCCTACACTGGTCCACAAATGAAACGGCAATCGTCCATCGGGAAGTCCCAAAGCTGGAGCTGAAGTCAGTTTTTCTTTCATAGAAGTAAACGCTTCCTCAGCTTCTGGTGTCCAGTTAATCTGTTCCACTCCCGGCTTTCCTCCCTTGTACAGGTCAATGAGAGGGCTGGTGATGCTAGCAAAATCGGGTATATACTGACGACAATAGTTGAAAAGTCCCATCACCTTCCGCATTCCTGTAACTGTTAGAGGTTTTGGAAGATGTCGTAATGCTTCTACACGCTCTGTTGTCATTCTCCTTCCCTCCATAGATATTTCTTGGCCCAAATAGATAACTTTGGATTTGGCCAGCTGTGCTTTGTCGGGGTTAACTTTAAATCCCCCTTTCCTAAGGGCTTGTAGGACAACATTCAGAGCAAATATATGGCTTCTTTCATCTGGGCTTGCAATCAACAAGTCATCAACATATTGGAGGCAGACACTTCCTGATTTCTCAATTTCAGCTTTTTGCTCCGTTAAGAACTGGTTCAAAGCTCTATGAAATACAACAGGAGAAATATTAAGACCTTGTGGGAGTCTGTTCCAAACATATTGTTTTGCGCCTACTGTAAAGGCTAATTTCTCTTGAGATCTTTTGTCTATAGGTATAGACCAGAAAGCAGACAGTACATCCAGTACCGTAAAAATTTTAGCATTTCCTGGAATATCATTCAGAATAGTGGCAGGATTGGCTACAATAGGATGCGGTTTTGGTGTTACACTGTTAAGTCTTGTGTAATCAATGGTTAATCGCCATGAGTTATCTGATTTCTTGACAGGCCAGACAGGACTATTAGTGGTAGATGACGTTTGTCTGATGATACCTTCAGCTTCCAAGTCAGCCACTATCTCCTCCACGGCTCGTCTTGCTTCAGGTCTGATAGGGTATTGTTTATGAGGGGCATGTGTCGGTCCCTCAATAACAATGGGGTCAATGTTGGCTTTACCACAATCCAGTTTGTGTTTAGCCCAAACATCTGGATACAAACTGCATAGAAGACCCCACACACCATCTTTTGTCCAGTTCCTGATAATTGGTTTTGCTGTACCAACAGACCTTAGATTACATGTGCGATCTTCGTGTGGTATTATCCCAGCAGTTGTGGCGATATGACGACTGTCAGTGAATATGATCATGTTTAACAATGGAAGAATGTCCATGCCAATTAGGCTTCCTTGTGAATTCGGCCCCACCCAAAAAGATGTCCATAAGACTTCATCTTCATGTATTTGCAGTGGAACTTGAATACTTTTGCGAAATTTTGTGATACCACCTCCAACACCTTCAACTTCCATAGTTTCCTCTGTTGTAGGTAGGTTCAAATCTGTTATTGAAATTGAGGCGCCTGTGTCAACCAAAACATCACATGGGTGGCCCCCTATTAATGCATTAACGAAAAGGCGATTGTCTTTTTTCTTACTAATACAGGGGGCCGCTAATTCCTATTGCGGACGCATAATTCCCTCAATGAGCTGACGGACTTGTGCTTCAGTCAACGTCTTCTCTTGAGAATTTTCATTATGGTCTTTGGTACTGACCTGTTTAAATGATGGACCTTGACCTTCTGCTCCACCTCCTTTAGCCCAGCAATCTCGTCTAACGTGTCCACGTTTTCCACAATTGCTGCAGAAAACCATCTTATTCTTTGTGTCTTTGTTGTATTGAGCTGTCGCCACTCCTCTTCGGTATGGCTTGTTTCCTTCTTCTTTGTTTGACCTCATAGCCATCTCCAAACGGCCAGCCCATTGCATGATTTGGTCAAATGTCTCACCTGGGTTGACTCCAAGTGATAAGGCTTGTTGGTATTTTGGGCCAAGTCCATCCACAAGTGTGTCAATGAACTGTACATCATCTCTGTCAGGTTGTTTCTTAGCACAGAGAGCCCATCTCTCATAAGCATTCCACTTACGTAGAGCATACTCATCTGGAGATTCATCATCCTTTTGCTTAATCAATGTCACTAATGTGAAGGGAATTTTACCACTGCCTAAGATTTCCTGGATTTCTTTTCGGAATACATCTAAGGCTTGCCAAAGACCCAGGGGTCGTCCCTGGTCATCAACCCACAAATCTATCCATTGGGCAGTTGTTATTGAAGCTGGCAAGCGTTCCCATCTGTCTCTTGGGATTTTAGCTTTCACAATGGTGTGAATGTCTCGTAGTGTCATTTGATGTGCTTCGACAAGAGAGTCTAATTCTCGCCAAAACTCTGTGTTTGGATCTTGTCTCTTCAGAGGAGGCAAGGCTGTGAGAATGGCTTGTCGTTCACCTGGAGTGAATGGTCTCTCTTCTGTCATTAATTCAGATCCTTCCTTTTTAATTACTGGTGAAGAAAGTTCAGGACCGATCTTGTCAATTGTGATCATGTCGTCATCTCTTGTCTCATCACCCCAGTCGGATCCATAATTACAAGCTGGTGTACAGCGCAGCATGTCTCTGTTGGGATGAACTGTTTTAGATCTTGTTATTATTGGAGCTGCTTGTGCAGATGCAATATACATTTTGTCAACTGGACCATTTGATCTCAAAGCTTGAGGCTGTGTCAGTGGTTTAGAGGAACTTGTACATTGTTCAGGCAAAACTGGATACATTGGGTTGTAAGGAGGAGGCGTTACAGTGGTTGCAGATTTCACTGGTGCTTGTGAATATCTCTTTTCAGCTTCAGTTATTATATTTGTCCAATCTGGATCAAATGAATTATCATTGGTTGTGTTTTCTTTATCTGAACAGTTAATAGACATAATTTTGTTCAATTTGTGAAATGCTTCAAATTGAGGCTTCATTGCTTCAAAAAGTGGGGCTGGACATCCATCAATGCCACAGAAGATTCCACCTTGTTTCACAATCCAATGAGCTGCCAGTATTGGAAATGCTTTTGACTTGATGGAGTCTTTTTGCGAATCAAACCAGCTTAGCTGCACATCCAAAGATGCATTAACATCCAGTCCTTTTTTCAAAAGCTTAGCTTGCTTTTTCTGTTTTCTTTTTAAATACCAATCAGCAATTGTTCGGCTGTTAAGACCACTTTCTGCCATTGCAAATTATTTGTCACTCTGTGACTGTGCACTCAAACAGCAGGGATATTTTGGGAGTGAGTGTGTGTGTGTGTGTGTGGATGTATATCTACTGTGCGTGAATTCCAAGGGGGGGGGTCCCTCTGCTTCTCCCTCTCTCTCTGCTTCTCTCCTTCTCTCCCTTTCGCCTTCTCTTATAACTCAAAGAACAAAGAAGGGGAAAGGAAAAAAACAAAAAAACAAAACAAAGTTAACTCTAATAATTTGTTTTCTTTGTGTATTTGTTTGCTCTATTTTTTATTTTTAAAATTTTATTTAGTTTATTTGAAGTTGCTCTCAGATCAAACTCTTCCTCTCAATACTGAACAGCTTATTGTCAAAATCGAAAAAACACACAATTCTAGCTCCTATTTCCATTGATACCCATCTTCTAAGGGCTCAATCAGCGTGTTTAAAATTTTAGGGCGCCTGTATTTCTAAATACGGAATCCTGTGCGTCCTATAGCACAGACCCGCCACTTTAAACCGCTATAAATCACCGCTTTGACACACTATCCTCGTTTTCTAAAACGATTCTTCGGTGTGTTGGAAATATTTTAGAGATTAATCTGCCATCAGTTTTTACAGTCTCGCCATATTCCAACCACCTTCCAGTCATGCCAAGCAAATTGCTAAATTGCTTTACTGCTATTCCAAATATTTGACTAAATGGTCTTTTTTCTAAAAAAGATCCACTTTTCCTAAAGTCTTCTCAAAAATGAAAAAGACTTCCCCAGCATCATTCAATATTTCAGAGGTTTACTGAACAGAGCAACTCAAATAAGCCACATCAAATTCAAACTATTTAAATTATTTTCCTTTTGCTGACACATATATTCATTGGCAAAACAACTGGTACTTTAAACAACACAGTTATTTTAAGCAGTTTCAGTCAATGTCCAATCATCAGGCAGACTTCAAATTATTTTTTAGAATAGGAAAAAGTCTTACCTTGAATGATTGAGACAAATGCCTGAATGCTATCCTGTTCCTCGTGACGCCAAATGTAGACTTGGAATTAAAGCCTCTTGTGTTTCCCCGTCATTATTCAATTTACGGGACCGGACACCAGTTATCTTGCCAAGAAAGTTTTATTATATATTATATATATGTCAGGAGAGAAACTTCATGATGTTGTGTTCATGCCTGGTCTATGCGTTTCTCCATGTTCCTCTACCCTCTCACCCGGTCATGCCTACATGTTTCTCTAAGGGTGGTACAATGTGACATTGAGTTTTTATACATCACACAGTCTTACAGCTTCCTTGTAAGGTAACAAACATGTTGCTCTGAGCTTCTCAACTTAGAACGTAAATGTCATACGTGCGCTACTTTCCTTGTTGTGTACATCTGTGGTACACTTGCATCAGTGGAAACATTTATGCTGAGTGAACATGTTACATGGCACACATACCTCTCTGAGCAATATATAGCTTTCCCCTGACATATGTTCCTCATGCTTTTAACTCATGCTTTTTGAAACTCCAAAAGGATAATACAGTGATCATGAAAACTAATAAAGAATAATAATACAGATACATAATATTTAATAATGAAATAATATTAAAAGATGAAATTTTAGTCTTCAGGGCCTCTTAGTATCTGATGTATTTGTAAGCTAGTTTTCATTTAACAGGAAATGCAAGTCTCAATGAAAACAATGACATTCAGTACTCCCATTTTTTTTTATCTGGTAAATTTCATGGATAAAAAGAACGAAGTAAAAAGAATGGAGAACATGTTTCACGTTTTTGTCAATGTCATTTCAGTTAGAAGTGTATATGATGTTTACATCGCAAGTGTTCATACACTTGTACATTTTATTTCTATTAAGTGACAAAGAAACATTTAGCTTTAGATTTTTGTACATTGTCATTTTTCACATAAATTTAAGTTTTTAGCTGTTTGATTTTAGAAAATTCTAAATGCACACACAATTTATAATATCAAAGTTATGGTGGTTGACCTGAAGAAAATGTTTTGAGTAAAAAGTACGTTCTGTATGGTATAAATATGTGCAGTATGAATGAAATCTGGACGTACTGCTTTTGTCATGTTGTTATTGTCATGAGACTTCTCAAAACTGCTCCTGTGGCCTCATGGGATAGCAAAATGTCGCACTTCAGAATCTCACTACATCTAATGTGTTTTGGGAGAGCGGGGCACAACATAATGCATTTTGGTTTTGGCTCAATTAATTAAAAAATAATTAGGTTACATTATTATTATTATTTTTTTTTACACAAGCAACATACACATCTCTGCTACAAATGAACACTTAAAGTTTTTTTCTAGGACCTACCATTTTCGTACAGTTGCACTGAAAGTGACAGAAGTGCAAATGTTACAGCTTACCCCATATGCGGGGTTAATTGTAACAGACAGAGGGGTTAGTTGTGTAACACACATAGTTCAGTACTATTTTATTTGTATAGTTTGATATTGTTTGTGCATCTGTATAGACAGATATCCATACATCCATCCCTCATCCAATCATCCTTCTATTATGGATCAATATCATGGATATAGAGACATTTGCAATAAATAATAATAAATAAAATTATAAATATTGTAATTGCAATTAAATTAGATTTGTGTGTGGCAGCTGCATGTACAATTGAAGAGTTCAGATGCAAAAGCCTCTAAGTGCCATTTGAAATTTTCTTCTTTAATGATGATTTATGTCATGCTTGTATATTTAAGTTCAGTAATTTCACTTAAATGGCAATGAAGATTATCTATTAATTGTTATTTAAGTGAAATTACTGAACTTGAATATACAAGTTTGATAAAAATCATCATTAAAGAAGAAAATTTCAAATGGCATTTAGAGGCTTTTGCATCTGAACTCTTCAATTATTATTATTAATAATAATAACAGTAATAATAATACACATTTAAAGGGTTTATTGCATTAATAACAGGCCATATTTTTAATAAATAAACAAGTTATCATTCATAGTACACTAAATTTGAAACATTTTAAATTCCAACATTGTTTGTGAAAGTCCAACAAAGTTAAATGTATACTCAAACCTGAAAAGTTGTGTGGCTCCGTTTTCATTTGATTATCATTGTACACTTGGAGGCTTAGTTGTAACACTGTGTTACAACTAAACCTCGCTGTGTATTACTTATTTTAAACCTAGCTAACAGTCGTTATAGGAATTGCTGACATGTTTCAAAACGGTGCAATGTTTGAGCCAACAAGACAGTGATTAAGGCAATATAAAGTTAGATTTGGAAACGTATACACCCAACTCAGAAACCGAAAAAAACCTATGATGAAAAAAATTACTTTCATGGTGTCAAAACACTCTTTGTCCAGTATCTTCACGAAATATAATCCAAACTTTCCGCAAATTCGCGGGAGATCGTCTTCTGGCAGCGAGAGAAAAAGAGCGGAAAGACGGCCGGCTTGATCCTGACGAACTATGTAAACGGTCCGTGTTACATTTAACCCCGCGCTCCCCTATACCACTTAAATAACATACTGTTTTTCGCCAATTAGCATATTTGGACGCAGAGCTTTGAAAATCACATGCTAATACCATGAAACTACACAATTTTGTATATACTTTTATTATTCAGAATGTCTAAATCTGAAATACTAAATAAGAATCTTTAAATGGGTCTAATACTGCATATATTTTAATTGTTATCAGGTTTACATTTGTGACATAAACAATAGCTAGCATTGCCATTAGCATGTGCCGCTTTAGCTACTCTGACAGCGCACTTCAGGAAGACTGAATAACCTTTTTATTGAAGTACCGTGACATGTGACCTAGCGCAAGACAACAGTAGCCGCAGGTGTACAGGAGAACACTGTGTTTTATGTGTCCGAGTGTGTGTAAATCCAGACTGTCTTTCTCAGACCCAGCTGCCTCCTCAGGTGAGTTACCTGTGCTGGCGGGCCGCTCTAAAGCCCCTGTATTCAGTGACACGGGCGCCGTCGCTCTGCACTCAAATATCACTTAACACTGATTAACCCACGCTGGGCCGGCGCTGGGTCCGCACTTGCCCACCTGCCAGCTGACTGCCATTAGACGTACCCTTATCTAGTCTCAGATCTGTCTACAATAGAGCCCGGGCCGAGCCGAGGGGTTAAGGAGCCTTCTTAAATAATAAATCATTAGCTAAATACTTTTTGTTCATTTGTGTCATGTTACGCGTACCTCAATCTTCAAGTGCAGATGCCTCACGGAAGCCGCGTCTGTGTCTACTCTGCACTGTCATTTAACCACTGCAAGCCAGAAATCTTTTTCTGTTTCTCTCATAGTACAGTGGAACTGGGTCTTCTTGAGACAAATTTCACAATTCGATTCGATTTCGATTACGATTCGATTCAATATCAATTATTTTGGATATCAGTTACAATAAATGGCAGTTTTTCTCAAGGGAATCAAATCTCTTAAATGCTGTAAACTATGGGAGTCTAGTTGTAGCCTATAGGCTTCATTAG